TGATTGGACGGCAATTTTTAGCGTCATGCCATCTGGCTTTTAACGAAGTCATGGTCCAGGGCATAGATCTGTTAAAGTGGAAAGATAATATTCTGGATAATCGAGGATGATATGGGATCTATTTTTGTCTTCCGTATATATCTACTGTGGTGACCAATTATGCATACAGTAAAGTACGGTTATAACGAACTCAGAGGGACTACTAATATTAGTTCGTTATAACCGTAGTTCTTTATAAGCATATATACAGCATAACTACAGCAAATAGACGGGACCTAAAAAGTAAGTTCGTTGTATCCTTCAGTTATAAGCGTGTTCGTTATAACCGTAGTTTACTGTATATGTGTGAGTGAGTTGTGTCCAGTTCAATCACGACGTGTCAGTTTAATGTGGGAGGAAATCCCGAAGTGATGCAGGTCTCAGACGTTAACCACTTTTTTTAAGCCCATGAGTACGGGTATGGTGCTGACAAACCTAGAAACATACTCGGGGCGAACCGGGATTCGAACCCACAATAATTGGTTCCTGGTGTGCCCAAGGGACGCAACTGTGCATTTAGTGCATGTAGATGTATATTATCTCTGGCAGATGTAAGAGATACAAACAGTCATATAAAGTCCGACAGATGATTGGCGGGAACATTCGGCTCACTCAGCCCAAAAGGATCTCAGCAACCTCTGTCAGAAATTCATTTTGGAACAAGTTTCGTGCACGTGACTATCACATGACATAAAGCAACGCGTCATCAACCTTCAAATGTCCAAATGTCCAAATTTCTCCATTTGCTTTCAACTGAAAATCAAAGCGAGAATCTACTTTCTGGAAACACAGAATAATCTGTCCCGTTAAACGAACTATATGCGGCGGGATTTGGTGTGACGCGGTTCAAAGTGAAGCCATACAATATCACTGCCTGATGTATTGTGTAGGCAGCCAGCACCCATGACCTAAGATCACAATTATTTTCTTCTTCATCAACTGATGCATCATGTAATATTGATGAGGTAAGTAAGATATACATGAATGACGTCTTTCGCTGACGTGACTGTGTTGAAAGCTTTTGAAAAAAGGACCCCCTGATTGGAAATTTAGACACAGCAGGTGGTTTTAAATTGTCTGCGAGCAACTTAAATGCCAGCAAGTGTTGAACTCCTACGTAATTATGTTGTTAGGAGATACAGCTAGACTTGCGAAAGTCTGATTGTTATATTTAAATTTAAGTCTTGCGCAACGCATATTTTTTTACATATTTAACGGATGTGCGCATGCGTGACATCTTTACTGTGGTAGTCCTTCGTGTTTATTCTGCAGACAACCCAAACAATTTTATTACAGAACAACCGCCTAAAAGAAAACACCCCGCTTGTAATTCCATCTCAGTCTGGTCTAAATGAAGTGTTTCATCTGCTTCAAATTATCCCATGTGTTTCAGTGGTCCGTCGTTATGAGGCATTACAGGGGGACACATGATTTAAGGATTTACTACCCAATTTAAACCACATGTCATGACGTAACACTCCCATTCACGTCAGTGAATGTCACGTGACACACATCCGTTATCTCACCAGAGTTGAAGGAAATTAAAAAAAGTGAAGAAATATATTTCATATACGCATCACATTTTATAGGTTACATAAAACAGAACGTGTTGAAAATGCAAAGTCGAGCCTTTTCATGATTATGGGGCACATATAATTAAAACTGAAAAAAATGACACACTGTTAAAAATAGACACTCATTTTCAACGTTGTATGAGGTGAGGTGAAATGGGGTTTAACGTCGCGTCCAAGATTAGTGCACTTATATAGCGACGTGCATGTACGTGTGTGTGTTTGTGTGGCTGCTTGTACTAGTCCGGACTGATGCCGATTTATAGTGCTAGCTCACTGAGATTCCATGCCGCAGTTTAACATGAATACCCCACTCAGACACAGTATACTGACTCCGAGCGGACCAGTCCTTGTTTTAGCCCCTTAATGCCGAGCGCCAGACAGGGTAACAACAAGTACCCCCTTATAACGTCTTTTGGTTCCGGGCGGACCCTCTACCACTAGGCCACGGAGGCGGTCCAACGTTGTATGAAATACAGTATTTAGTATGAAGATCCGGACCAGAATAGGTCTTCAGAAACCCATGTTTCTCGTTAGAGGCGTCTATGCTTGTCTTTAGAGGCGAATAACGGGATCGGGTGGTCAGGCTCGCTGACTTGGTTGATGCATAATAAGATGTCTCAATTGCGTAGATCGTTGATCATGATGTCAATCACTGGATTATCTGGTCCAGACTTGATTATTTACAGACCTCCGTCGTAAAGCTGAAATATTGCTGAGTGCGGCGTTAACAAACAAACAAACAAACTTATTCTGTTCGGAAGGGGGGTTAAAGGGAAAGGTTATATTTGCATGTTGAAAATGTAATTCATTCAACGTATCTACAGCTTGCAACTCATATTGTTCGCGCTTGACATAGAATGCGACATAATGGTAGCTCGTTGTAGGTTCGACTTAATAAACATATTTACAGTGAGCCCTAATTTGTATCTGAAAGACGTTATGAAACATGACAACGAAGAACCTTTACCTTATATACTGACAGCCAAAAGAAAGTATACACTCATGTTTGATGGTGGGATTCACGCCGTTTTAGCTTTTAATATACGGGGATTCATTTTGAGGATCAAACCAGACATTCTGCGTACATTGCGGAAACGATAACCATTAGGTTTTTTTTTCAACAACGCCAACGTTACCCCTAACCCTACCCCTGTCTCTACCACTACCCCTGTCTCTACCCTTACCCTTACCCCTGTCCCTGTCCCTACTCCTGTCTCTACCCCTGTCCCCCCCTACCCCTGTCCCTGTCCCTACTCCTGTCTCTACCCCTGCCCCCCCCCCCCCCACCCCTACCCCTGCCCCTGTCCATTTCCCCTGCCCCTGTCCCTGTCCCTACCCCTGTTGCTACCTCTGTCCCTACACCTTACCCCTACCCCTGTCCCTACCCCTGCCCCTGTCCATATCCCCTGCCCCTGTCCCTGTTCCCACCTCTGTCCCTACCCCTGCCCCTGTCCATATCCCCTGCCCCTGTCCCTGTTCCCACCTCTGTCCCTACCCCTAACCCTGTCCCTACCCCTGCCCCTGTCCATATCCCCTGCCCCTGTCCCTGTTCCCACCTCTGTCCCTACACCTTACCCCTAACCCTGTCCCTACCCCTGCCCCTGTCCATATCCCCTGCCCCTGTCCCTGTTCCCACCTCTGTCCCTACACCTTACCCCTGTCCCTGTTCCTACCCCTACCCCTGCCCGACCCCCTGCCCCTACCTCTGTCCCTACTCCTGTCTCTACCCCTGCCCTACCCTACTCTACCCTACCCTGCTCCTGTCATTGTCCCTACCCCTGTCCCGACCCCTAACCCTAAACCTGTCCCGAGCCCCAACCCCTACCTCACACAAGGTATACACACTAGTCACATATACATACATATACCGTCTAGCATATACACACACCCTGGTTGACTCTCGTATTGTAAGTACACAGAGTATATATTAATAACAAACCGTTATTTAAGAATTATTTACATAAGCTGCAGATGAGACTACAATTATGTCGAGCCATTGTAAGCAACCAAACAATTCATTTCGACGCAATATCCACCCTCAAACAACCTAACAATGACCCGCCTATGTGGTATTTACAATTTACACACATAAGAACAAACATTAATTTTCAAAGTAAACAAGATAAGATTGTACATGAATTCGTCATGAGACGATAAGTCTTGTGTCGTTCAAGGCTCCCATAGGGAACTGGTGGTATCGGGCACCCTTCACGGTAGACTTGGGGTGCACGTGGTCCCGTGTACTGTACGCTTGTTGTGTTCTATGCACAAGATACCTCAGATAAGAGGCATTACGACCATCGGGGGGGATGAGTGAGTGTGTGAGTTGGGTTTAACGCCACTTTTAGCAGTATTCCAGTTATATCACGGCGTGTCAGCTTATTGTGGGAGGAAAGCCCGAAGTGATGCAGGTCTCTGACGTTTACAACTTCGGTGAAACCAACGAGCACGGGTATGGTGCTGACAAACCTAGAAACATAATCGGGGCGAACCGGGATTCGAACCCACAATCATAGGTTTCTGGCGTGTCCAAGGGACGCAACTCTGCACAGCGAATCGCGGCGCCTTAGACGACTGGGCCACCCGTGCCCCCTCGGGGGGATGAAGCTACCAAACAATCGGACGGCGTGTCATCATTTCAAACTTAATCTTAAATAAATATAAACTAGTAAAATTACTTATTGGCAGGTTTTACTACAGCCAGCTTCGGATATAAAAAGTCTGATGTCTCGAATATTCGACTTATCCGAGGAATGGCGTTATCAGCTTTAAGTCGGTTATAACGGGACTATGCCTCTGGGAAAAAGTAAAGCACCGCTTACTATATATACTTCCTTACGATTCTTTTATTAAATGGGTTTTTTTTATTTATGACACAACAGTTATTTTTGTTTACAAAGCGACATTCTCGTATTGAAATACAGAAAACGAGACTGGTTACCTAGTAAATGTGTGTGTAAGTGCTCAAAGCAATCGTGTGACTGCCCTCTCTATTGCTTCTTCTGTTTCTTTGCATCATAATGGTATGACTCAGTGTTTGCAACCATCTGGAGAAACATACACTGTTCTTGTACCAACTTATCATCAGGTACCGGTAGCATCTTGGACATAGAGCACACTGAGATGAATGCAAAATGTAATTATTTCCAAAGGATACATGGAAGTTCGGAACATATGATACTAAAAGGGGGTTGCTTAACTTTTTTCAAGGTGTATATACATGTTATGTCCAGTGGGTGGTGAATGAATGAAAAAATGGACGAACGAATGAATGTCTTTATTTCCTCCAGATAAATCCAAAGATTCTCAAAACATCAAAATTATGTAATTAAAAAATGAAAACAACAATATAATCAAACATATATATCTCAAAGGTGGTTTCGCGTATATACAGGCTTTAAACAGTGAGAAGTATTGCTAATATTATTACCAAAAGTTGATCAGGATATGTTTTATTTAATATAAATACATATAATATAACAGTAAAATGCCACATTGCTTCAGTATTATCATTGTTATGGGATACAGTGTTTCTAACCCTTTGTACTGATTATCAATCAATCCATCTTTATCCAACGACTTAAAGACCACAGGCCCATAGTACATGTAGTATTAATAAGCAAATGTGACGACTGATGGGACAGCACTTTGCAAAAATATAATAATTTTAATTTGAAACAATTTCCCTCAACACTGAAGAAGAAGAATATGAGCAAATATGCTACTCAAAATAAGTTAAAGAACACCCGATTCTTTCATATTTCTTTCGTTATCTGGCATGACAGATTTACTATAGCAATATGAAAGAATCGGTGTTCTAATTTATCCAGAGAAGTATATAAGGCTTACGAGTGACGGACAGACACCGATTTATGCTTAAAGTATTTCCCCGACAAACTACCATTTCTTTTTTAACACCTCAACTACTCAAGTTTCGGAATGTATGCTGAGGGAAACCGTTCCCACAGATATCTTTCAGTCACAATGATCACTTGTACACAAACTGACTCGATTAACCAGCTCTGTAGAAATTCCCAAATATGACAGTAGGGACACAGTTCGTTCTGCGAGCCCCATCCATGAATCACACGGCGTTCTTTCCCTGCAGGACCAGACACAACCCTCCACCCCGTCTCTCCGCCATGCCGTGCCACGGGAACCAAACTTAAAGAGAAGGAAAGAAGAACCCCTTTAAAAATCTCTTGACTTTTTACTAAAGGGTATATAGTTTCAGAATAAGACATGCTTTGGAAATAACTAACGTCTAAATGACTACGCGTAGAGAGTTCTGTGTCTTCTAAATATCATCAATCACAGCAAGGAGAAGTTAACGTCATGTTCTTGTAATATATAGTGTGCTTCCAAGTCACATTTACACACAATTGCAAATACACACATCTACATGTACAATGCACAACTTGCTGTAATCGTGGGATAATGCACTATTTCCTGTAATAAGTGTCTCCAACAACGTATTTTCGTCGGGTGACGAGGCAGAGCAGATTATCGTTAAAGTGGATTGGAGTGAGTGAGTGAGTGGGTTGGGTTTAACGCCGCTTTTAACAGTATTCCAGTTATATCGCGGCGTGACAGCTTAATGTGGGAGGTAAGCCCGAAGTGATGCAGGTCTTAGACGTTTATCACTTCGGTGAAACCCACGAGCACGGTATGGTGCTGACAAACCTAGAAACATAATCGGGACGAACCGGGATTCGAACCCACAATCATAGGTTTCTGGCGTACCAAAGGGACGTAACTCTGCACAGCGAATCGCGGCGCTTTAGACGACTGGGCAACCCGTGCCCCCTTCCTCCGAAAGAAATAAACATTTCCCTCATTTAGAAAATACATACGAAAATCATGAAGTAATGTAAAATTTACTTAACTGAAATGATGTAAATACTTTTTACTGTGTAAATAACTATCTTCACCATACACATTTTCTTTAAGATTTCTAAGCGTTCTTAATTGAGCAAACGCCCTGTCAGTCACGTGACTACAACTATAGTTTGTTCGTTCAATTGTATACTCTGGGCCAAGGGCCGAAATACTGAATAAACACCTATGTCTGAGTGTCTGTCTGTTACTCGGCCCATTACCTCAAAGCGGCATAAGCTGTGACGGTTATAAGTCTGTGTTAATCGGAGAGGGTCCTACTTGTCTGTATTACTGGAGTCCAGGTTCGATCCTCACATCTTGGTTTGGTTGAACCTGTCCACCATGCGGTATATCTATTTAGGTCCTACACACCAACAGATCTCCATATTTCATAAGAAATACTTGGTTATTGTAACACGCTTAGTTTCTGATGAGACCGCCTCCGTGGTCTAATGGTAGAGCGTCCGCCCGGAGAGCGGAAGGTCCGGGGTTCGATCTCCAGCCGCGTCATACCAAAAGACGTTAAAAGATGGTACTTGTTGTTACCCTGTCTGGCGCTCGGCATTGAGGGGCTAAAACAAGGACTGGTCGGCTCGGAGTCAGTATACTGTGTCTGAGTGGGGTATTCATGTTAAACTGCGGCATGGTATCTCAGTGAGCGAGCACTATAAATCGGCATCAGTCCGGACTAGTACAAGCAGCCACACACACACATACACGTGCATGCACGTCGCTATATAAGTGCAATAATCTTGGACGCGACGTTAAACCCCATTTCACTTCACTTAGATTCTGATGAAGACCAATGGCCCGTTCCAAAAAGCAATCTTACAATGCTAAAACGATCGTAGCTCCCATAAGTTAACGCAGACTTGCGATAGTCGTAGCGCTCAGGTCGCATTGTAGAACGGCGCCCTGTTCAATACATGAATGTTTATTACGGTTTAATATATCCATAAAAACATACGTCATACCGAAACGACCAAATCAGATATCCAACACGTGTTGTCAAACACGTCACATTTTTTTATAAATCCTTTCAATATATTTTTTTTACATTCTCCTTGAAACAATTACGCCATAAAAGCGAGTTAACACCTTGCCCAAAAATTAAAAATATAAATGCTTACATACAACCGGTCCCACGCACCAACAATGGAGTGTCGCTCTCAACAGCTCACCTCAGTCGTAAGAAACTGTTGTTGATAAATTGGATGATGTCACCAGGCCTTCAGCCAATTGGAATTGAGAGCTCAATGGGTGTACACCCGGTCACTTGTGCTCCTAACGCTGTTGTCTATACCCACTTGACACCCAGCACACCCAGACTGCTTGTTCGTGCACTCTATCCGGAGATATATCATCACACAGACGACTTGTTTGTGCAAAGCTCACTAGAGCATTTCTTTTCGCGGGTGTTTTAAGTATTGAATAAGTGTTGTCATCCTTGACTCACCTGCCACAAAGCTTATTGTATGGTGTGTGTTCTTATGACAGGTGTAGTCTCGGTACGTATTGCACGGCTTTCTCGTGTATATTGCATATTTCCGTCACTGAGTATTGCACGGTGCTATCTCGTGCATATTGCATATTTCCGGACCCGTGAAGATCCGGGGAAGAATTGGTCTTCAGCAACACATGCTTGTCTTAAGAGGCGACCAACGGGATCGGGTGGTCAGGCTCGCTGACTTGGTTGATGCATGTCATTGTATCCCAATTGAGTAGATCGATGCTCGTGATGTCAATCACTGGATTGTCCGGTCCAGACTCGATTATCTACAGATCGCCGTCATTAAGCTGGAATATTGCTGACTGCGGCGTTAAATAACAAACAAACAAAGCATATTTCCGTTACCGAGTATTGCATGGGGCCATTTCGTGCATATTGCATATTTCGTCACTCAATATATATTTCACGGTGTCGTCTCGGTGCATATTGCACGGTTGGTTAGTTGTCTATATTTTCAGTGTTCGAAATACCTGCCTGCCCGACCGTCCGAGACGGGTTGATTTCAACTCGGGCTGCCAGATTTTCAAATCCCCCTGCCCGACGGTCGGGTTATATTTCATATGTGAAAATAATCAAAATATTTCCCGATGATAAGCATTAATTCACATGTAAAGATGAATGATAAAATGTAACCAAAAAGAAACCCCGTTAGCTTATCCTGAGAAACATATGATTATAGTGGGCAGGCAGGTTTTGGTCAGGGCTGGCAAGTATTTCAGCTAGCCAGTCCTGTGGTCTGGCTGAAATTTTTGGGAGTTCATACCCTGATATTTTCTGACAAGGAATTCGTTTATATGCCTTTTTATTGTCCAACCGATTGTCGCATGCGACGATCGTCTTGGTGTGAACGCGATTTAGATCTATCGATCAATTACCTGACTATTCAAATATAACACTTGAAGGTGAGCGGGCCCAGCGAGGAAACAGCCGCGCAGTGCACACACAGTGGTTTGAACAGATCTTGACTTGCAACCTAAACTGCGTAAGGAAATGGTTTGCACATAACATGTTGCCGGTATAATGACGAGTTTAAATAAATAAAAACATGCCATTGATCATGTTTGGTTACAATTCAAATAAGTTTTCAGTAAGATTGATTGTGTGTACCTGACGTCATGGTGACGGGCGGATCCGGAATATGCATGAATTAACAAATGAATGTATTGGATACACAGCGTATTGTTGTATTTGTGTGTACGGCTATCACTATTGAAATAGTACATGTAAAGTGTCCCACAGAAGAGCGCTGTGCATGTTTGGCAGATATAATTGTATGTGCATGTAGGCTGTGGTTGTTTATACACGCAGTACAGACAATGATAGAGCTATGTGTAACTACGTGTAGCTGTCTCTGCCTCTCCTCTCTTTGTCTTTCTATCGCTATCATCTCTATCTGCCTAGAGAGAGAGAGAGAGAAAACAGATCTCTATCAGAGATAGAGATATACACAGAGATTGAAAGAGACAGACAGAGAGAGAGAGATAGTGGAGATAGAACAACAGAGAGAGGGGAGGGGAGATGTATATAGAGAGAGAAAGGTAGAAAGAGACACAGAAAGAGAGATAGAAAGACACACAGAGAATGAAAGAGAGAGAGATGGTGGAGATAGAACGACAGAGAGAGGGGAGGGGAGATAGGTAGAGAGAGACACAGAAAGAGAGATAGAAAGACATAGAGAATGAAAGAGAGAGAGATGGTAGAGATAGAACGACAGAGAGAGGGGAGGGGAGATAGGTAGAGAGAGAGAAAGGTAGAGAGAGACACAGAAAGAGAGATAGAAAGACACATAGAGAGGAGAGGGAGAGATATCTATACACAGAGAATGAAAGAGAGAGAGATAGTGGAGATAGAACGACAGAGAGAGAGGGGAGGGGAGATAGTTATAAATAGAGAGAGAAACAGAAGGCACAGAGAGAGGAGGAAGAGATGGGTATAAATATATAGAGAGGGACACACACATAGAGATAGAAAGAGAGAAAGCTACTTCGTATGAATTCTAATAGATTTCCTCTTCATTGTTATAATATGTTAAAAGCCTTGGATGAAAAGGGTAAATATTGTTTATGGGTGTCTGATATCAGGAATATTCTTTGTATGTCTGGTTTTTCTCTTGCATGGATATCTCAAGATGTTGGAAATGATAAACTATTTATCTTCATGCTTAAGCAAAGATTACTTGATATATTTTCACAAGATTGGCACTGTTAAATATCATCCTCAAGGTTTTTATGCCATTATACGAATATAAAATCATTACTTGTTCCTGAAAAATATGTATCTGTACTTCAGGATAGAACTTTGAGAAGATCTTTGTGTAAATAACGTATATCATTACATAATTTAAATGTTAATAATCTCAGAAAGAAAAATGTACAAGATAAAGAAAGTAGTTTATGCCGTTATTGTAATGAAGGTTATGCTGAGGATGAGTTTCATGTACTTCTCATTTGTAAATATTATCAGTTTCTTAGAAATAGATACCTCCCTATGATTTCAACTATGAACAAAGATGAACAACTGATGAAAAATTTGTTGAACTCCCGCAATGCTAATACAATATCATCTCTGTCAATATTCCCGAAAAAGATTTTTGAAATTAGACGTTAATATTATATGTAAACTTATTATTACCTACACGTGACTGTACATTGCTGATACAAAAAACAACAACACTTCTATACTATAGGCCATAAGACCTAAAATATTGAATAAACTTCTGTCTGTCTATCTGTCTGAAAGAGAGAGAGAGAGAGGAGAGGAGATATATCTATACACACAGAAAAAGAGAGACACAGATGGAGATATAATGAGATGATGGATATAGAACGAAAGATGGGAGGGGAGAAAGGTAGAGAGAGAGAGAGAAAGGTAGAGAGAGAGAAAGGTAGAGAGAGAGAGGAGGGAGATATATAGAAAGAAAGACAGGGAGAGTCACAAAGAAAATGAGACAGGGATGGTGGAGATTGAAAGACAGTGAGAGAGGAGTGAGAACAATCTATAAATAGAGAGAGAGAAAGAGAGATACAGAGAGACACACAAAGAGATGATAGAGATAGAAAAATAGAGGGGATGGAGAAAAAAGAAAGACTCTCTCTCTCTCTCTCTCCCCCCCCCTCTCTCTCTCTCCCTCCCTCTCTCTCTCCCTCTCTCTCTCCCTCTCTCTCTCCCTCTCCCCCTCTCTCTCTCTCCCTCTCTCTCTCCCTCCCTCTCTCTCTCTCTCTCTCTCTCTCTCTCCAACACTATATTCAACTGTACAGTGTATATAACAACGCCCACATATCACCAGCCTCAGTCTGGGTACAGGATCACAGGGAGGTATGTAATTAGCTTGTGAGGGAATATAAGAGGCATAAAACGTGTCGAGCATGTCTAACTCCCCGACAACACGTGTTCCCGTCACGCGGCTCGCACGACAAGGTGTCCACCGCCTCGGGCGCATGTCGGGTTGCCCTCTCCAGCGACGCAACATATTTGGGATATGTACTGTATTTTATCAGACTCGGTGCATGCCGCTTTTTGAATGGATAAATCCTCTTTGAAAACACGTGTTCTTCGTTTCGTGGCATGCATGTATACATGGTGTATTTATTAAATTCTCTTTGCAGTTTTTGTACTGCAACTACCGAAGGCCGCAGCCCGAGGTTATATTTGATGGTGCAACGGTGTCAAAAACAACAGTAACCCCCCGCGATACTAGTAACAATGTTTTCCTCTTCAGGGTGGCAAGAGCGTCAGGGTGGCCCAGTTGTTAAAGTGTTTGGCGGTGACGCTAGCGACCTGGTCAATTCCTAAGATGGGAACATGTGAAACCCGTTTTTTGGCTCCCCGCCATGATGTCGTTAGCGTGTTCCTAGAAACGGCGAACAGAATCCATCCACTCTTCAGGACGGAACATGGAATTCATGTCATTCTTCAGATTCAACAGATATTCTTTTTCAACCTGAGAAAATGTCACCGACCTCAGCAAGACATCATGAATGTCATCTTCATACATGAAATAATTTACTTGCTAAAAAAATAATATTTCCAATGGATGTTTTTTCGACAGACGCGTGATCCTGACAGACAGGTGAGTATTGTTTTACGCCGCTTTTAGCTGTATATCAGCAATATCATGGCGGAGGACACCAGAAATGGGCTTCACACATTGTACAATCAAACATTTGGGAATCAAACCCGGGTCTTCGGTGTGACGAGCGAACGCTTCAACTACTTGGCTAACACCCCCCGACCCTAAAGCCAGACAAACGCTTACCTCAAGGGTCAAGGTCAAGTAAGATGAGGTGAAATAGGGTTTAACGTCACAATACCACAGTTATAACATGAATATCTCACTCAGGCACATTACACTGACTTGAAGCCGAGCAGTCCTTGTTTTACCTCCTTAATGATGTCTGCCAGGCAGGGTAACAAGAAGTACCATATTTTAGCGTATTTTGGTAAGACACGCCGGGGATGGAAATACCGACCTTCACCTCTCATGCAGGGCAGGGGGCGGTCGGGTAGCCTAGTGGTTAAAGCGCTCGCTCGTCACGCCGAAGACCCGGGTTCGATTCCCGACATGGGTACAATGTGTGAAGCCCATTTCTGGTGTCCCCCGCCGTGATATTGCTGGAATATTGCTAAAAGCGGCGTAAAACCATAACACTCACTCAGGGCAGACGCTCTATCCACTAGAACAAGGAGTCGGTCACATCGGATATCAACATCCGCTCCTTGGACACAGCGTTGTAGCAAGCGGTGACGTTGTCGCTGAAGTTGGACGATGTCGCTGTTGTAGACGGCTGTTGCATTGTTGCTGCAGTAGTAGTTGTTTGTTGTTTCACGCACTCAGCAATATTCCAGCTACATGA